GGGTTACAAGTTAGGCGGGTTATGCGGGTTATTACAGTGGGTTACAAATTAGGCGGGTTATGCGGAATATTACACGGCAGGTTACAAGTTAGGCGAGTTATGCGGGTTATTACACGGCGGGTTACAATTAGTTAGGCGAGTTATGCGGGTTATTACACGGCGGGTTACAAGTTAGGCGAGTTATGCAGGATATTACACGGCAGGTTACAAGTTAGGCGGGTTATGCGGGATATTACACGGCGGGTTACAAGTTAGGCGGGTTATGCGGGATATTACACGGCGGGTTACAAGTTAAGCGGGTTATTACGCTATCATGCACATATAGATTCCGTGTCCATCACCATCGTGTACATGTAGATAATAGGCATTAGGCATTAGGCATTAGGCGGTCAGCGACTCACCGTACACTGCGTTTTTCGCGGGGTAGTAGATGTAGGCCATCGTGTACATGTAAACATTAGACATTAGGCAGTCAGCGACTCACCATACACGGCATTCTTCACGGGGGAGTAGACGTAGGCCATCGTGTACATCGTGTACGTGACATTAGACATTAGACATTAGGCATTAGGCGATTAGCGACTCACCGTACACGGCGTTCTTCACGGGGAAGTAGATGTAGGCCATCGTGTACATGTAGACATTAGACATTAGGCGGTTAGAGACTCACCGTACACAGCATTTTTGGCCGGTGAATAGACGTAGGCCATCGTGTACATGTAGAAGTTGAGCAGCGCGTAGGACATCATGAACTCGGCCGAGTTCTTGTAGTTAGTGCTCAGCTCCGCGACGAAGTTGTCCTGAAGGACACCGGCACCGAAGCGGAGGAACGTGATCGCCACGGTAACGGACAGCACAAGCAGCATCAGTGTCGTCAGGAACTTCAGCCGCAGGTCTGTAGAATAAAAATAAAAAATAAAAAATTCAAAAATTCAAAAAAAATTCAAATAAAGTCTGTGAAGTCTATAGTCTAAAGTCTGTTAGTGGCGTTAGTTGGGATGGTCAGCGGTAGGTGGCATTGGAGTTAGGATTAGGATTAGGGTTAGGGTAAGGGTTAGGGTTGGGGTTAGGGATGGGGTTAGGGTTAGGGTTAGGGATGGGGGATAGGGTTAGGATTAGGGTGAGGGTAAGGGTTATGGTTAGCTTCAGGAACAGGGTTAGGGTTATAGTATGGGTCAGTGTTAGGGTTATAGGAATGGGTCAGTGTTAGGGTTAGGAATGGGTCAGGTTAGTTATAGGAATGAGGTCGTGTTAGGGTTATTAGGAATGCGGGTCAGTTTAGGGTTATAGGAATGGAGTTCATGTAGGTTTAGGATGGTAGTGTTAGGGTTTATAGAATGCGGTCAGTGTTAGCGGGTTATAGGAATGGCCGTCAGTGTTAGGGTTATACGGATATGGGTCAGTGTTAGGGTTACTAGGAAATGGCGTCAGTGTTTAGGGTTATTTAGGAATGGGTCAGTGTTTAGGGTTTATAGGAATGGGTCAGTGTTAGGGTTCTATAGCGAATGGTCAGTGTTAGGTATAATGGTCAGTGTTAGTTATAGGAATGGGTTCAGTGTTAGGGTTATAGGAATGGGTCAGGTGTTAGGGTTATTAGAATGGGTCAGTTTTTAGGTTATAGGAAATGGGTCAGTGTAGGGTTATAGGAATGGTCGATTGTAGGTTATAGGAATGGGTCCGTGTTTAGGTTAAATAAAGGAATGGGTCAGTGTTAGGGTTATAGGAATGGGTCAGTGTTAGGGTTATAGGAATGGGTCAGTGTTAGGGTTATAGGAATGGGTCAGTGTTAGGGTTATGGGAATGGTTCAAGGTTGGATGTTGGCATTGGAAGCGCAGGCCTGTAGGAACGTGATCGCCACGGTAACACACAGCACGAGCAGCATGAGTGTCATGAGGAACTTCAGCCGCAGGTCTGTAGGAGAGAGGGTTGGTGGAGTTAGTCGTGCATTTGAAGAAGAAGGAGAGGTTGGGGTTAGTGCTAGAGTGTTAAGAATGTCAAAAATATTAAGGATTGTTTGAATGTGTAGGTAAGCTTAGGATTGGAATTGGATATTGGGGGTTAGCTTTGAGATTCCGGTTAAACATAGGATCAAAGTGATGGTAGTCAGGGTAACACTCATTGGGACCGATTGAGTGAGGGTTAAATTTTACTTACAAAGCACAACACAAATAAAGATGAAAGAAAAATCGTTAATCAATTAGTTTTCTTTCCTCACCAGAAGAATATTCAAGACATATCAAAATGAACGATCAGCACAAAAGGAACACTGTCAATCACAGCATGGGTCCGTGTCGCCCAGAACAAACCCTAAATACTGCCGCAAAAACCAACATCATTAATTTTTTGCATTAGTTAAAACCACCTTCATTAATTATGTGCATTAATTAAAACCACCTTCATTAATTATGCACATCATTAATTAAAACCACCTTCATTAACTATGTGCATTAACTAAAACCACTTTCATTAATTATGCACGTCATTAATTAGTTAACGTTAATTACTCACCAAAGTAAGGCATGGACCTGAGCTCAGCGTACGCACGGATGATCAGGTATATCAGGTATAGCAGGTAGAGACCTCCGATGATGAAGAAGAACACCTTGAAACCCTGCGATGAAGACAGACAATCATGTGAATGTGAAATATTGAAATGTTATCATATTTTGTGTATTTCCAATCACTTTAAGCAGATAATTAAAATAATGACAGTAATAAGTCAAATGATTATATATTGAGAGATTGCCAATGAATACTAAATATTGGATAGACTAGAAGTGTTTCCCCTGCATTGACACGAGTGACACGTGGGCCGCCTCGCTCAAATTCTCAGCCACCACACAGAAATTTAGTGCTTATAATGCACCAAAATAGCTTATAATGAACCAAATTGCACCATTTTTTCCAAAAATTTACCTGCGATGCTCGCTTTGCTAAGACCTCAAAAAGCGCACACACCAAAAGAAAATCACCACCTCACAGACCTTTTTGGCCGTGACAAGTCATCACAGATATCGCGAAATTGATGCTAACAGATTGATTCTGTGGTGCCCCCTTGGGCAACAAATTACTTCCCGGGAACGACAAGATGGAATATAATCCGCAAAAATGCGCACCGAAAGATGTGAAAAAAGACGGGCTGCCACCGCCGTGGCCGCGACGTTGTTGTGTTGTCGCGCGTTGCCGTGGCAACAACATACCACGAAGTTACTGATGTCGAGTTCGTAGTTGTAAGTCGGGTCGCGTAGTTCGTTGAACTTCTGCCAGGAGGCGAGCGTAAAGGCGGAGAGCCAGAGCATGCCGACGACGATCAGCTTGGGAGCATAGAACGCCAGGAAGGAGCGCTTCGTCTGCAACCGTGACAACAGTGACAATGGCGACAACGGTGAGATCTTGACGATTATTCATTTTCACAAAAATAGTAGACTAAAGAAACAAGTATTAAAAAGTAAAGTAAAATTGTGTATATAAAAAGTAAAAATGAGTCTTATTGATTATTTAACAAAATTTGGTATAAAAGTGCAAAAAAAAGCAACTTGGGAGCGTAGAACGCCAGGAACGAGTGCTTCGTTTGAAACATGGGTGGCGACGACAGTGAGATCTTGACGAGGATTCATTTTCACACAAAATTACACTAAAAAAACAGTATAAAAATAACATCTTAAAATGTAAACAATGAAAGTCTTATTGATTGCAATTACAAAAAGAATTCATTGATTACAAAATTTTCTGTAAGTGCCAAAAAAATTGAAGTTTAAAAAAAGAATAAAGATTGAATTGATTACTTAAAAACCATTTAGCCGATCGTTGCCAAGACTACCTCTAATGGCATCTCTACGAACGCTTAAAGACAATGCCTGGCAACAAAATGCATGCAATTTGTCGCAAGCAGTCGTCAATTTTCCGTGCACGCACGAAAGACTTGTCTAGCTCGACCAAACCAGCAACGACATCCACGAATAACATGGTTATCACACTCTGGAAAACCCAGAAACGTGAACCCTTCTCCCAACCCACAGTTTAACAGCTCAGTGCTGGCAGGTGCGCCGCCCCGCGCGATGACCCCTGTCGTGAAATATCACAATATGTAAATCGTATGTTATCGTTGGCGATTATTTAGCGCAATGGCGTAAAGGTAGTCTAGTGCTGTAATAGGAATATGGGCCGGGGGCATAGAGATCGTGAGAGAGGGAAAGCGAGGGAAACGGCGGAGAGTTGTACGTAGTGTTGAGGCGGTTGTGTGGATTGTTACGGAACGTAGAGTGGGATAGTTGTACGGAGGATTGTACGAATAAAACCACGATATGTGTCGAGTGTTTTGAGTGTCAATCATAGAGTATATGATGGAACGTCGACAATAGAACCGGCACAGGCGAGATTCGAGATTTCGCAACAGACCGCTCACTTAATTTGTTTATTACAATTTTAACATTTTTTAGAAAATGAGTTTTATTGATTATTTAATATAATTCAGCATAAGTCTAAAAAAAACTTTTTTCTAAAATGTTACGCACGAGGACTGCTCACCTGCCGTATGCCATGATAGATGCAGAGCCAGAACAGCAGCAGAGCGCAGAGGAACGTAGCCTGGAACATTGCGTCGAGCATGCCCGGAACCCAGGAGTTCACGAGGAAGGTGATCGAGAACAACGGATCTGCAACGATGTTCCGCGACGCGTGAGCGAACGTTCTGCATTCTTCGTAATGGAGGAACAGCGGATCTACAGTGTTCTGCACGCTCAAGGAACATTGGATCCACAATGTTCCGCGTGAAATACGAACACTGGATGTACAGTGTTCCACGCTATAAAAATCGGGCTACCATGAAATCGCCTCAAAACACACAGATTTTGCTATTCTGTTCTATTCTGTATCGAGTTATTCTGTTACACTATTTTTATTCCATATTAATTACAGCATTATGTTTAGCAATATTAGTAGATGTGTGACTCCAGTATACCGTAATTTATAAACTTTTACGTAATAATTATTCCATAGTTTGCAATATTTGCAGATAATTTGATTCCAGTATAGCGTAATTTACAAGCTTTTACATAACAATTACAGCACAGTTTGCAGTGGACAACATACCGTTGTACAGCAGTAGTAGAGGGAGAAGAATGGCCAACCATTTCTGTTCTATGCTCCAATCGCGGACGTAGAATCGCCGTAAGGAGTGGCCAAACCAACACTGCAACGTCAATAGACATGCTTGGCTAATTATATATTACTAGTCCATGCCTGTTAGGTGGTCCATAACGAAATGCGCTCCATTTAAAAAACAATGTAAAAACAATGTATAACATTTCTCTGGTTAGATTAGATGGAGAGACTTGGAAAATCTTAGATGGAGCGCCTTTGGTTATACATTGTTTTTTACATTGCCATTGTGTTTTCGTGTTGTGACGTTGCCCCACGCTCGGTGCAAAAATTGCCCACTTATTTAATGTTTTTGAATGTGGAATGTGAAAAAAATAAAACTGAAAAAAAAAAAAAATAGCCCATGCAACGTGTCATGATCTGTAGAATGTTCCGACAAAGCTTGAAGAGGATCCGTTGAGCAGTGCGGAAACGTATAGCCGGACACACACACAGAAATTCCCCAATATATAGTAAGATGTATTATAAATATATTATATATTAATATTTATAAATATAGGCTAGTGCTAATGCAATTTCCCTGAGAATGTCGTTTGGGTTTCTATGTGGGGGGGGGGAGTTGACAATTTATCTTCTTCTGCGTCTCTGTCTGTTCATCCATTCGTCCTTTGACGATTCATCCATGTGTCCATGCATTCCTCTGCCCGCCCACCCGTCCATCTCTCAGTCTCACTTTCAGCCTGCCTTCCAGCAGTGATAAAGCAAAATGAGAAGAGCCTTGAAGCATCAGCAACCATAGCGCGGCGCGCCGAATTCCTTGGCATAATGGCAACGTGACGCGAAGACTCACCGTGACAATAAAGGTGATGACGAGAAAGACGAAGCGAAACCAGATCTCGATCCGCGTGAACGCCGGGTTGTAGAACTTGAACTGAAGACAGACAGAGAGGGAGAGAGAGATGAAGGCAGAAACGTAAATCACACTCTGGCTTTGTGCACGCCATCTGTATTCCCCTGCAACCGGTTTCACTGACAGTACTCCAATCCCGTTCCAGCACTAGCCCATACCTCTACCAGCCCATCCACCCCCTGCTAGCACATCCCCACCCCCTGCCAGCAATTCCACACCTCCTGCCGACCCTATTGACCCCCTGCTAGCACATCCCCACCCCCTGCCAGCAATTCCACACCTCCTACCGACCCTATACACACCCTGCTAGCACATCCCCACCCCTTGTCAGCAACTCTACACCTCCTGCTGGTCCTTTCCACCTTTTGCCAGCACCGTACACGTTACACCCATCCGCATGCATTGGCGATGACAACGATTTTGACACATACATACAAGCTTTGCTACTTTCTCCATCCTAAGCTAATACTCAGCTCCCTACCCCACCTTCTAGCACTTCCCCTACAAGCACCTCTACTCACTCCCCACCCTCCCACGGACCTGACACCACGGCGACGACATCTCCCCCTGCCGCGCTGCAATAATGACAACTGTGACACTTACATAGTAGACAATTCTCTCATGATTCCTCAACCCCTAGCTAACCCTTAGCTCCCTACCCCACCTTCTAGCACTTCCCCTACCAGCACCTCTCCTTACACCGCAGACACCAGCAGCACTACTGCACAGCAAGGAGCTAAATATAACAAGGAGAGGAAGCGGATTGGCTGTGTGCTTTTCGCCTTAAGGACGCCATCTATGAAGCATAATCAGCTGAAACGGCTGTGCAGACCCGAACCCAGAGACAATAAAACACTAATCTGTTCTAGGCCAATATGACCAAATATGGCAAAGATTTGGGCCAGATATGGTAGCGCTTTCCTCTCCTTGTTATATATAGCTACTTGCTGCTCAGTAGCTCTACACCTTACACCCTCTCCCGGACCTGACGCCGCGGCGACGGCATCTCCCCGCCCTCTCCCGTACGCGTCGCCGTGGCGACGACTGCGACACTTACGTAGAAGCGGACGTCGGTGATGTTGTAGTGCTCGTGTGTCGGCTCGAGGCCGTGGAATCGCACCGTGACGACGTAGTGAGGGTAGTCGAGGAAGCCAAGGTGAAGTACGGTGAACTCACGACACACCTGCGATGGAGGAAAAAAGAGAGAACGCGTGAGCAACAGGCTACAGCAGTTTTTGATTGCGGCCGTGGAGAGGCAGTCGCTCTTACAGGCAAGGGGGGTGGAGGGTTTGCAGCAACAGTAGAGTTTACGGAGTGTGCAGAGTGCTTTCTACAGAGGCGGCCGCCAAAGCAGAGGTTAACTATACGTAGGTATGTATGAACAACACACGAAATTATGATATGTTTTAAAAGTGAGTAATTACAATTATTGCATAAGTAAACCAGATATATCAATACAACAGACACTTATCTATAAATGACAAATTTGGTAGTATATATATATGATTATGATATATATATATATATGATGACTATATATGTATATATATATATATATATATATACACAGGTTAGGCATGGTGAGACAGAGGGTGGTGATGACCTGGCTGAAGCTGGCGAGTTTGCGCAAACCAAGGGATATATGAAGACTATACTATATATATATATACATATTCACACACACAGGTGAGACAGGTGATGACTACATACAGGTGAGTGATGGGGAGCGTGGGATCGTGGCGATGACTGACCTGGCTAGAACATGAGAGCTCGCGCGACTTGTTGAGTCCGGCGTTCGTGTCGCTCATCAGCAGCGTGCTCTTGTTGTTGACGCCGATGCCGCGGATCATCACGTTCACGACGAAGCGCTTCTGGAACGTCTCGCCTAGCCGAGCCAGCGTCACAACGAAAAACGGCATTGTAACAAACAACGGTATCGCAACAAACAACGGCATTGTAACGAACAATGACGTCACAACGAACAACAGCATTGTAATGTTCGACGGCATTGTAACAAACAACGACATCGCAATGAACAATGGCATTGTAACAAACAACGACGTCACAACGAACAATGGCATTGTAATGTACGACGGCATTGTAACAAACAACGACGTCACAACGAACAATGGCATTGTAACAAACAACGTCCCGTCCATGTCATCTTCACAAGCTTGGTTCTTCAAATCCTTCGCACTTACCCCTCTTCGCACAGCCTAACCGGGTGCGATACAACATCACAGTTTTTTTGTTGTGAAAAGAAGACTGCCTGGGCAGCATGGGCCAGCTTACCGAGAGTTAACCG